TTTTTCTTTTTGCTTATGTGGTGCTGAGGAATCGAACCCAGGGCCTCAGGCATGCAAGGCAAGCTCTCTACCACTGAGCCACCTTCCCAGCCCCGTAAAATCTGTTTCTATTCAAACACTTTTTTTTTTTTTTTTTTGGTCGGTTGTGGGGCTTGAACTCTGGGCTTGGGCGCTGTCCCTTCACTCTTCAGCTCAAGGCGAGCACTCTACTGCTTGAGCCACAGCGCCACTTCTGGTTTTCTAGTGGTTTATTGGAGATTAGAGTCTCACGGACTTTCCTGCCCAGGCTGGCTTTGAACTGTAATTCTCAGATCTTAGCCTTCTGAGTAGCGAGGATTATAGGCGTGAGCCACTGGCACCGGGCTCAAACACTTTTTTTTCAAACACTTTGACACACAAAATGTGGTCTTTTTTCCACAGCAAGAAACAATTCTTTACCTCTTAAGTAACCAACTAGTTGCCCAAGGATTCATTTCTGGCCCTAACTACCCAAAGTTAGTGCAAGACACCACAGGTTAAGGGATCAGTTCCATAAGAGTGCTTCTACTTCAGATGTCTTTTCCAACTCTACATCTTCATGTATTTCTGACCAGCTGTCTATAAATTGAGGATGTCCACAATCTACTCAGGTTAGATAGTTTGCTAGAATAGCACATACAGCTTTATTTTCATTTAACCAACTTATTACAAAGGATATCATAAAGAGTACAGATGAACAATCAGCTTGAAGATGTACATAGTTCAAGGTCCAGGGGACCCCATGTATAGGAACTTCTATCATTTGGAGCTGCCATTCTCTATGGCACCTTGCTGCTCTATGAATTCCATCCTTTAGTATTTAATGGAGATTCCATTACATAGACATAATTGATTAACTCATTTTCCATTGTGAGTGGTTCAGTCTGTAATCCTACTTTCTTTTCCTGGGCATTAGGTGTGGATAGAGATGAATTGCAACATGATTGGTTCCTCTAGCTCTCATCCTGAGGCTTACTTGGGCATACTTCCAGTCATCTCATTAGTGCAAACCCTGGTATGCTTGAAAAGGACTTACTGTGAACAACCAAAGAAACTCCTGTTACCCTTTCAGAACTTTGCAAGGAGTTTAGAGGCTTTTCCTGACAGGGGAGTAAGACTAGATGTATATCAGTTAGTTTTCCTTATCCAAAATGCATTTGTAGGATCAGAAATATTTTGGCTTTATCAGGCTTTTTTTACATACACAAAATGAAATATCTTGAGGATAGGACCCAAGTCTAAACATAAACTTCATTTATGTTTCATATATACTTTATACAGTAAAATAAAATAATCTCCAGACTATATGTATAAAGGCAGGTTTATATCGTCCCCCCATTTCCTAAAGATAATTTTATATAATGTTTTCAGTGCAGCTGCATTTTTGACTGTGCCCTTTTGACTGTACATTATTTCCCACTTGGGACAGCATATTTGTACTAAAAGGTTGGGGGCATTTCAGACTTGGGGTTTTTTTGGATTAGAGATTCTCAGTGCTCCGTATTTTCTGGTTTTCTGTTTTTGAATGCTCAACTTGTATTTTCTGGTTTTCTGTTTTTGAGACAAAGTCTTACTATGTAGTCTATAAAACTTGAGATTATCCTGCTCCATCCATCCTCAGTACTGGGTTAGAGATGCTCACCACCACATCCCATTTTGCTGGGACAAAGTACCACGGGGTTGTAGATGAACTGTGATTTTTAGTCTTCCCCTGTCATGAGTTCAGTTGTCGCTGGCTAATAAAATTTCAGTAAGAATATTTAAAGGCACTTATGTTCCTCTTTGGCAAAGTGGTGTTTGGGAACTTTAGAGAAAGCCCTTTCCTATGCTTTTTGCTTCCCAGGTGATCTCAGTTTGAAATCCAAAGGAGCATATTTGGGGTACTGTTCTGAGCCCTAACAGTTTGAACATCAGTTTTGTGGATTATGCATGTATTCAGACCATAGCATTTCCTTTTAAATACTAAAAATTGTTTTTGTCTTTTTATTCTAGCAATGTCTCAGGCTGTGCAGACAAATGGAACTCAACCACTAAGCAAAACATGGGAACTCAGTTTATATGAATTACAACGAACACCTCAGGTAATACAGACAAAGATAACCAAGGAAGAATATGAGATGTATGCAAACTAAGACACAGTTTTAGAAAATGGAAACTTAAATAGAACTTAACAGTACTAATTTATATACCAGCAGCTCATTGATCAGCAAGTAATTTACATACTATGTACATATTTATATGAGGCAGTAGGTGAACAGTGGTGAATAAAACTAGGTATGGAAATTTATAGACATTAAACAAATAAGAATCCATAAAATCACACATGCAAGAAGTTCTGTAAAGGAAAAGTTTCCTTTACAGTTATAAAGTCATAATAAGGTAAGTAGGGAAAACTATTCTGAGGCAGTAAAAATGGCAAAGATTGGAGAAGGAGCAGATTTGAAGGAAATGAATGTACTCAAAACTGGACTCATTGACTATAGGGGCAGGTAGAGTATAGGCTTTTGTAAAATTTTTGGCATTGTTAGTACATTTTGTAAGTGATAGGAGAATGAATTTTATCAGCAAGAGATAAACAGCCTGCAATTTCATCCAAAGGCCCCTCACCATGTAGAAATGAAATAATAGATGAAGATCCAGTGAGAGATGAAGAAGGAACATCCAGAGAAAAGGAAGGAAGGAAGGAAGGAAAGAAAATGGAATGGAGTCAGGGGGATTAGGATTCAAAATCTGATGGAAGTGGTTTTTTTTTCTTTTTCTTTTTCTTTTTTGTTGGTCATGGGGCTTAAACTCTGGGCCTGGGCACTGTCCCTCAGCTCTTCAGCTCAAGGCGAGTGCTCTACCACTTGAGCCACAGTGCCACTTCCAATTTTCTGGTGGTTAATTGGAGATAAGAATCTCATGGACTTTCCTTGCCCAGGCTGGCTTTGATGCTCAGATATCAGCCTCAGATGTCAGCCTCCTAAAGTAGCTTGGATTACAGGCATGAGCCAGAGAGGTTATCATTTCAGAAGTAGATGTTTGCAGAGTAGAGAGGTCTTTGAGTATTCTCAGCACAAATGAAAGACAAATATTGCAAGAGATAAGTATGTCGGCTCCCTTAATCAAATTATAATACATGTATTGAAATATTACATGGTACTTCACAGATATGTACAAATTAAAACACATAAAAATTAGAAATCTATGTGTAGAAAATAGAAAATAGTAACAGAAAGGTATGCTTATGTAAAATGGAATACAGAAAGTGCTTTTATATGTAGAGACTAGAATAAAAGTCACTTGATAGTAGTTGTACCTTGTTATTATAAATGTAAGTATATTTTACTGGAGCCTCCTGTAGAATAATATCTATAACTTCTCTGTCTTTTCAAGCATTTGATCTTTGATCATGTTAAAGAAAGCACAAGTATTAGAGCCATTGGAAACAAAAGTGTCAGTAATGTATTGGGAACATGCCTGCATGTTTCTTTCAGTGCCCACCATAATCTAACTTTTCCTGTATCTATCAGAATCTGAGGCTTTAGAGATATATAACCCTTGTTCTTAATTACAGCCATGGGAAAGTGGGGGGTATGGAGATAAAACAAGTAGGACCTACTGATAGGCATCAGGAATGAAGTAGCTTGGAATTTTTCTTTGGAATTCCAAATGTAATTTGGCAGAGAACAATTTTAGGGACAGTAGTTTAGATGTATTATGGTTTAAATCAGCTTGTGGGTTAGCCTGAGAATCTAACTACTTAGATCAAACTGTGGAACAAGACTTTTTTGAGATTCAAAAGTGATTTCAAAATAAAATTCTGTTAAACTGTTAGCAAATTAGAAAGTACATATATTAGAATCTTGAAATATTTTAATGGGCAAATATATATGGTTTGTAAAACTTGTAGAATTTGAATATGGAAAAATTCTCAAGGTTGAATTAGTCCCTTTTCATCTTGGCAAGTAAGAAAACAATAAAATAATTTAGAGTCATGTAGCTCATTAATACAACTAGAACTATTAAGGCCCATGATTCCAAATGCAGTGCTTTTTATTATAGCAGGCTAATTTCCCTCTAATTATTTTTTCTTCATATTAATATGCTATCTTTAGCATATAAAGAATTTATAGAATGCAGTATTGGTGTGGAGAGGATTATATATGAGTTAATAATGATCATTGCTGGAAAAGGGATACATGGATGTTCATTTTTATTATTTTTAATAATTTCATACATTTAAATTTGTCCATAATAAAATAAGTAGAATTGAATCTTAAAGTGACTCTTTTGCAGGAGGCAATAACAGATGGCTTGGAAATTGTGGTTTCACCTAGAAGTCTCCACAGTGAATTAATGTGTCCAATTTGCTTGGATATGTTAAAGAACACCATGACTACAAAGGAGTGTTTACATCGTTTTTGTGCAGATTGCATTATCACAGCCCTTAGAAGTGGGTATGTTGAAATGAACTATACTAGATATATTTAGGTTGTACCACATGATAGTGCTCTCTGGAATTTGAGGAGTTCCTGCCAATAATTATTTGACTAGAACGAAGTTTAAGTTTTAATGAGAATTTTTGTTTTTAATTAGCTGGTTTTATGTACTTATAGAAATTTTATCGCATATCTACATATATAAAGGAAATTAGGAATTACAAAAACATGTTTTTTCTAATGTAAATAATATCCATGAAAATGTTATTTTGGTAAAACAGTTGATAACATAAATAGTGGGTAGGTTTTCCTTATATGACATGGATAATCAGAAAGGGGGAAATTTAACTTAGGTAATAAGCGATTTTTATTTCTAAAATTGTTACATATAAATTATCTTTGGGGATTTCTTTTTCTTATGGCAATTGATAGTGGTTGAGATTTGTAAAACTTTGCTTGTGTTTACTTAAGATTTTCTAGGAAGTTCAGATTAATCATCCTAAATTTCTGTGACCCAGAAAAGGCATTGCAGAAAAGATTACATCTAGAAGGTTGACTTTTTTGTGTTTAGACCAAAGATGTTGGTGGTGTTTACAATTTCTTTCCTTTTATTTAGCAACAAAGAATGCCCTACTTGCCGGAAAAAGCTTGTTTCCAAAAGATCACTAAGGCCAGATCCAAATTTTGATGCTCTCATCAGCAAAATTTATCCAAGTCGAGATGAGTATGAAGCTCATCAAGAGAGAGTATTAGCCAGGATCAACAAACACAATAATCAGCAAGCACTCAGTCACAGCATTGAGGAAGGACTGAAGATACAGGCCATGAACAGGTATATGGGAAAGAGGGTGAGAGATGGGAACCATTTTTCCAATACCTTATTAAATGCTAAATTTATAGTTAAAAAATAAAAATGTGATGGGGCTGGGAAGGTGGCTCAGTGGTAGAGCGCTTGCCTTGCATGCCTGAGGCCCTGGGTTCGATCCCTCAGCACCACATAAGCAAAAAGAAAAAAGCTGGAAGTGGCGCTGTGGCTCAAGTGGCCAAGCACTAGCATTGAGCTGAAGAGCTGAGGGACAGCGTCCAGGCCCAGAGTTCAGGCCCCACGACTGGACCCAAAAAAAAAAAAAGTGGTAAAATAGTTTTGTGTGATTATCTTTTCATGTAAGTATAAATACATTTCAAGAGATGATAGGGCATTTCATTTGAAATAGTAGATTCTCTTGTACTCATGTCTACCTATTCCTACCATTCTGTTTCTCTTCTTTAGAGAAAAACTCCTGAAATAGTTGTGTCTGATTTTTTTTTTTCCATTCGTTTCATACATACCCCATCATTGCACTTGTGAAAGTGACCTTCTGTACATTATGCAGTCTTCTGGGTAAATGAATGTCAGACCTCATTTTATTCAGCAGCAGCAGACATGCTTAGCTTCTTCACCTGGCTTTCAGGAGACCATGTGCTTTACTCCCTTTTTATGTCACTGGCCATTGCTTTTAAGTTACTTTTTGAAGTTTTATTTGAATGCCACTCATAGAAGTCGAGTGCTTCAGGATCAGTCTTTGTTCTTTTTCAGTACAGGGTTTGGATCCTGATGACCTTATCTAGTTTCACGGCTTTAATTACCATCTCAATGCTGATGACTTCCAAATATACACACATACACACATGTACATATGTGCAGGCTGCACTACCCTGGATTTTAGATTTCATTTCTGGATATCTAAAAGAGTATCTCATAATTAACATTACAGTATTGAACTTTTGAGTCCTACCCTACTGTTTATTCCTCCTCGTTGTTGATCTTTCCATTTGTTTCACTTAGAAACTTTTGAACCCTTAAAGGTCTTTCTTAGGTCTTCTATTCTAATCTGTGAATAATTTCGTTGTGGCTTTCTCTGTAATAGATCCATATTTGTCCACCTTCCTTAATCAGTTCTCGAATTTATGCCTGCGTCATCCTGGTCCTCCTTTTTATACGTCCAAGTAGCTGGGGTGACATACATGCATTATCACACTCAGGTTTATTGCTTGAGATGTGTCTTGTGAACTGTTTTCCCAGGCTGGCCTTGATATCTAAACATTCTTTAAATACTTTCTGACATGATTACATGATAGTGCTCTGGCACTTGGACCGGTTTTTTTGCAGAGGCATGGGATAAAAATAAGTACAATAAGTCCTAGTAATCCTGATAATTTATGGTCACCTGAACAACTTGTCTCCTGCTATAGTTGTGGTTTAAAATATGCATATATGTATAGTCTTTAAGTTGATATTGAGTTAACTTGTTTTTCCATTATTAGCCTATTCATAATTTTTTTCAAAATACAGTTATGGTTTAAAAAAATAACAAAATACTATGCCAACCATGTTTAAAATGTTTACATTTACACTATTGTGCAACCAATCTTCAGAACTGCTTTTTCATCTATATTTTTTATTTGTGCAAACGTAAATGAAAAAAGTAGGGCAGGTGCGTACAGATAGATAATATAGTAGAAGAATGTATCCTGATATCACATCCTAGCACTAGTCCTGATACTTACTAATTGTGTTGCTTTAGGCTAATTATATTTTGTCTTATCTGCAAAATTAGAGTATTATACATTGCTAGGTTGTTTTAAAGAGTAAGTGAGATTGCATACACAAAATGCCTTGTCCAGTAACTAGCCTTAGTATCTGAGCTTATGAGAGAACTGTACTTTTAACTGTACTTTTATGCTGCTTATTTAGATACCATTGCATCTTCCTCATTAGAGCCTTTTACACTGCAATAGCAGGATTTAAGGGGAAGTCAGGGTATTTTTGCCATCCTTCCTTAAGTTTTGTTTGCTTAAAAGTGTTCTGGGGGCTGGGAAGGTGGCTTAGTGGTAGAGCGCTTGCTTTGCATGCATGAGGCCCTGGGTTCGATTCCTCAGCACCACATAAGCCAAAAGAAAAAGCCGGAAGTGGTGCTGTGGCTCAAGTGGTAGAGTGCTAGCCTTGAGCTTAAGAGCTGAGGGACAGCGCCCAGGCCCAGAGTTCAAGCCCCACGACCGGACCCCAAAAAATAGTATTCTGATTTATGCCTTAAATAGGTATAGATAACTTCCCTCACAACTTTTACATTTTCTTATGCCTTTCTTAAGACTTATAATCTCATTACAAAATGATCAAAATATAAAGATTTGCAAATAATTCCTGTAGACTTTCTTTTGATTAACAAAGAAAATTGTCATGTGAATAGGAACATTTGCTTCAGTTCTTTATGTGTTTGAGACGTGAGATTTTTTTTTAGACTTTTCTGGGGCACATGGGAAACTTACCAAATTGAGTAATCAAGATGCTTTTAAATTCTAAAGTTAATAGCAAGTATGCTTCAAGTTGGATGCTTTTACCTGGCAAAGAGACATGTACATGCATGTAACCCAAGATTTGAGAGGTTGATGCAGGAGAATCATGAGTTAAGTTATATATGTATATAATCATGAGTTAAGTTATGTATGAGTTAGGATTTTTTTCCCCTTTTGGCATAAAGGTTTTTAAAATGTAAATTTTTTGCTTCCTCCCACTTAACTAGATTGCAGCGAGGCAAGAAGCAACAGATTGAAAATGGTAGTGGAGCAGAAGATAATGGCGACAGTTCACATTGTAGCAATGCGTCCACACACAGCAACCAGGAAGCAGGCCCTAGTAACAAAAGGACCAAAACCTCTGATGATTCTGGGCTTGAGCTTGATAATAATAATACAGCAGTGGCAATTGATCCAGTAATGGATGGTGCTAGTGAGATTGAGTTAGTGTTCAGGCCTCATCCTACGCTTATGGAAAAAGATGACAGTGCACAGACAAGGTAAGTATATGGTTTGGTTTCAGATTATCTATGAAGTTGGAGCAGTAGTTCTCATTCTCTTGTCAGGGTTCAACTTGGGTAAATGGGGTGTCCAGATTGTTTCCTTCCTTTTGCATGTGCTTCTTACCCACAGATGCACATATGGAATGGAACAACCTAGTTTTTAGACAGTGGAGGAGAAGTAAAGGACCATCCAGATTTTTTTAAGGGTGATAGTAGGGCACCAGTAGGCTCTACAAGCCATGTGGCAAAGACTTCCAGCATACAGTCTGCCAGTGAGTGCAGATGAACATTATTATTATTACTATGATTATTACTGTCATCATCATCATCATTGTGCACACTGCTGTATAAACTCAGGATGTTATGCTTACTAGGCAAGTGCCACTTGAGTCATGTTTTCAGGTCTAATATTAAATACTTGTTAAATTAGTACTACTTTTATTAGTTTTAAAGATTAGAAATGTTAACTCTTGAAAGGGTGAACTACTTGCTCATATTATTAAGATTCCTCATGATGCCAAAGCCGGCAGATTCTAATCATTGAACTTTAACAACCAGTATGATATTTTTTTTTTTTTTGCCTCCTGTATATGATGCATTTCTGTTTGATTTTTGTCACTTTATATCATTTTATGGGAGGTAAAGGAGATGAAGCAGTCAAGTAGTATGTACTTCTCCCGTTCTTTTCAGGAAGAAAGCTTTGAATAATAGGTTAACAAATTCTATTTATATTTTATTTTGCATTTTAGAAATATAGTTCCCAATTTATTTATGTTGATATAATCTCTATTTCTACAGATTAAATTTTTAATGATTTATTCTTTCAGATATATAAAGACTTCAGGTAATGCCACTGTTGATCATTTATCTAAGTATCTGGCTGTGAGGTTAGCTCTAGAAGAACTTCGAAGCAAAGGAGAATCAAACCAGATGAACCTGGATACAGCCAGTGAGAAGCAGTATACCATTTACATAGCAACAGCCAGTGGCCAGTTCACTGTGAGTATTTAACATACTAGACTGTTGAACCTGGGAACACGTTAACCGACCTAGTGTCAAGTACTGTTGGACCACAGTATAGAATCTTGAGAAATTTCATCAGAGTAGTTGACCTTTGATACCCTTTGTTCTATTACAATATAAAGCAGTTATTCCTAATTTTTTTATTTTTAAGCCAATTTTCTCTCCAGTTCGTAGTCTAGCTTGATCTTGAACTCATGAGGGCTGGCATTGTAGTTGTGTAATACCATGGCCTGCTTTTCCCATTGTTTAAAGCCTACTTTGAATGATGTCTTGTTGTTGGATCAGCTTTCATTCCTCTGATCCCCTGCCTTTGAATACTAAGGGTTCCTGCTCTGGTTCCCCCTCTCTCTTCATTTCCGTAACCTTTGCAGCATCATATCCATCATACTGAAAGGAAAGACTGCTTGAACTTTCATTAGTATTTTTCTTTCTCATGGTGTTGAGGATCTAATATAGGGCCTTGCACCTGCCAGGTAAGTTCTGCCACTGAGATATATCTCTTATTCTTACATGTAAGTCTTTTTTTTTTTTTTGTCGGTTGTGGGGCTTGAACTCTGGGCCTGGGCGCTGTCCCTCATCTCTTCAGCTCATGAGACTTTTTGTGGGGGAGAGGGGAAGGGTCCGGTCATGGTGCCTGAACTCTGGGCCTGGGCGCTGTCCCTCAGCTCTTCAGCTCAAGGCTAGCACCACTTCTGGACCACTTCTGGCTTTTTTCTTTTTTCTTATGTGGTGGTACTGAGGAATCGAACCCAGGGCCTCATGCATGCAAGGCAAGCACTCTACCACTGAGCCACCTTCCCAGCCCTAGCACTTCAGCTCAAAGCAAGTGCTCTACTACTTGAGCCACAGTGCCATTTCGGGTTTTCTGGTGGTTTATTGGAGATAAGAGTTTCACTGACTTTTTCCTGCTTCAGCTTGCTTTGATCCACAGCCTTCAGATCTCAGACCCCTGAGTAGCTAGGATTACAAGTGTTAGCCACCAGTGCCCGGCTTTACATGTAATTCTTAATTTTCATAATACCTCACTAAACAAGAATTTGCTAAAGCCAGGTTGATTGTAATAGGACTTAGGGAATTCATATCATCAAGAGATGGTTTGTGGATAAACAATCTTAGATGGGCTTTGAAACATTAAAGAAACCAGGGTTTCTAGAAAGGTTAAGAGTGATAGGTCTTGGGGAGCTGAGGACATCAGAGTGACCAAATCAGGGATTAGCATCAGAAAATCACAAAAAGACAAGAAATGACTAAGGATAGATTCCAGGGGCTAATATTGGGTTTAATGGTGGTGGAACAACTTGATGAAGTAGAAGTGCTATCCTGGGAGCATATTGCAGCATGGACAGAAGAGAGAAAAGACCTGAGACACTAGGACACTCAAGGCCTGCTGCAGCACATCATGAGATAACAAGGAGCTTCACAAAGCTGGCGCTGATTCTACTCGCTGCTTTGTTGGATTGGTACAAATCAAACTAGTCATAAAGACTGTGCAGATGAACAGAGGATAATAATGAAAAAAAATCTTAACTTTGCCTAAAGTGTAACTACTGGGGAAAGGTCAGGACCCATTTCCACAGAGGTCATACCTTTCCCTCACCATCTTCACTCTCCTATTTCCAGATCTCTCTTAAGCCTATTGAACTCAACATAGGTCACTTAAATGACTCCAGTGTTTTCATTAAGATCAGTTCCATTGTGGTTATAATCAGTTGGTGATTCCAAAAAGTGGTTTGATTGGAGTTAGTGAGCTTTCTTTTTGAGAAATTGAGGCAGCAGAGCATGCTAGAAAACTTGGGTAAGTAGTTTTAATGAATATCTATAAATAGATATATCTGTAGAGCATTTTGTACTGTTGGGAGAACAGTTCCATATGTACAGAAGTTTTTGTGACCTTCTCAATAGCAGACTACAAATGAAGTATTACTTAAATTCCCTTATGGGCTGTGTGCTCCTTATAACCTAGGTTTAACCTCTTGAAGAGAATGTTTTAAGGACAAGCAATTGAAGGAAGTAGTGTAGCCTCAAAGAAGCAAGCGACCACGTAGTTAGAGGCCCCAGGACAAGACACAGTGTGCAGGCATCTTATCTGATTTATCATTGCATCTAATTTATAGAGACTTCTGGGAAGGCTAACTCTTGGGAAAGTTCGGTTATGAACAATGTTAACTGCCTTCTAAAATTAGCCTTTTTTCTATTCTTTTTTAGCAATAAGAATTGGTGATTATAACAGTACACCACTATAGTCACAGTTTCATACTGCTCTGCTTTACTCAGCTACTTCTAAGGATGGAGAGTACATCTAATGATCGGGAGGTTCCAACATTGATACAATAAACCCTGAGAAGTTCTCTGGAAAATTACTCTGACTTTAAGCATTCTGCCTGAGCAAGGCATCCACTTCTTGAATACATTTTCACTTTTGAAGCTGCCAAGCATATGTATAGTAGTCCAAAAATTTTGGAGGGCTATCCCCTAGGTTTCCCTTTTGTGAAGATTAGAGTCAACCAAAATCATCCCAGAAGACTGATACTTGAGCCAGGATGTTGCTTTTCCCAGTCTTGCCATACTTTTGAGATGTAACACTTAGACATGAGTGGGAAAAGCAGCTCAGGGGGCCCTTGCTCAACCAAACAGGCAGATGTCAGGTGCTGGTGGGGTTTTAACTTCAAATCCTAGTACTACAAAAAAGAGTTTGTAAAGCAGGGTGTGGTGGTTCATGCCTGTTAACCATAACTACGTGGGAGGCTGAGATTGGGAAGATTATTGTTCCAGGCCAGGCAGGCATAAAGTTTACTTGATCTCATCTCAGCCATTTAAAACAAAACAGGGCCTGATGGTTCACATATGTCATTCCAGCTGTGTGGGAAACATAAATAGGAGGGTGGTGGTCCAGGCTGTCCTGGACAAACATCAAGACTGACCCTGTTGAATCATAGCCAGAGCAGAAAAGCCTTGGAAATGATTCAACTGGTAGGGTACCTGAGTTCAAACCCTGCTTCTGTCCCCCATGACCCCAAAAAATGTTTGTGGACTTTTGTTCTATTATTGAACAAAATATGACTTTCATAATTTTTTCTTTCTTTTTTTGTTTTAGGTATTAAATGGCTCTTTTTCTTTGGAATTGGTCAGTGAGAAATATTGGAAAGTGAACAAGCCCATGGAACTTTATTATGCACCCACCAAGGAGCACAAATAAGTTTTTAAAATCAATTCTGAGACTGAACTTTTTTTTATAGCCTTTTTCTTTAATATTAAAGATGTACCATCACTACTCTTATGGACAGATCTTGGATATGCTGTTCAATTTCCTTTCTGAGCCAGACTCATTTACACTATTAGAATCATTTCCCCTTAATTTAAGATTTACTTTTTGGAAGATACTGCAGCAGTTCAGTACTTGTTCTTTTCTTTTAATAATATGTCTAAGTGTGTGCTTTCACAAAGAATGGTTACATAACCTTTGACCCAGGAGTTTTTAAGTAAAGCTTCAGTTGGCTATCTTTTCCTTCTGCCTTTAGATTTTTTTAGGTCTCTATAGAAGTTAATATGTATTCTTTCCCTTCCTGGAGTCTTGTATATTTATAGTTTTCTATATAAATTGTAGTATCTTCATGAAGACCAAGGCTCAATTTTCATAAAAACAATTCTCATAGGATTATTATTTTCATGGTATTTTCTTCCATATATCTCATTTTTGAAAGAGGTTCTTTATGAACTTGGTGTCCATTGTCATTGCAATGTTATTTTTTTCTGTTCCCCTCTCCCACTCACTTGAAAGTTTAGAATTTTTGGTCATGGGGAAGAGAATCAAAGTCTTAAGTTCTATGAGAACATAGTTCATTAACAGATTTCACTGAAGAGAAGTTAAGTTGTTAGGAATATGTAGTTCTCAACTGTATATTTAAGAGTTCTTTTGTATTAGTTTTACTTCAGTTCCTTTATTATGTGTTTGATGTTTTTTTTCCTGTTTAAAATACCAGAGATATTTTGCACTTTAGCCTTGATGAAAAGTACAAGATATGTTGTTTCCCTGGTTCTTTTCTTATTGGTAGTGATTTCAGAGTCCAGAATAACATGGCACATAGAACTAACAATGGAAAAACTCTTTGTGTTTGAAAGTGTGCTTAGCATTTTGAGTTGCCATATCAGTTTATAATTTGGTGCTCTGCTAATTACACTATAGAAGCAGGTTAATGGAGTTTGAGCCCTGCTTTAATATGTACTAAAAGATGATTCTGTGCAGAAATTTCAGCAGTTTTATATTAGAGAACAGTATTGGCTGTTTGGGATGTAGATACTTTATGCCTACTAGTCTGGAAGATTGGCTTGTGTCTTTTTTTTTTTTTTTTTTTGCTGAGGTGGGTTCCTGTCCTGGCTTGAACTCAGAACCTGGGCATTGTTCCTGAGCTTTGTGCAGCTCCACTTCTAGCTTTTTGGTGGTTAACTGGAGATGAATCCACAAACTTTTCTGCCTTTGCTGGCTTTGAACCACAATCATCAGATCTCAGCCTCCTGTGTAGCTAGGATTACAAATGTGAGCCACCAGCACCTGGCTGTGTCTTATTTTTTTAATCCCTGTCCTGATTCCAGGTATGTCTCCAAGTTCATAATCACAGTATTTATGAAGACTCGTCTGCATTGAGAATTTTCGGAGAGAATAGACCTCCAGTACCACTGTAACTAAAGTCTGTCTAGTCATTGTAAATATTTACCTGTCAATTTTGACAGATTGGGGCAGCTCAATATTTTAACTTGGAGCCAAGTATGAAAACTTAAAAGGCTTATTCAATTTTTTACCATTTTACTAAAAATATTTGAAATCTGTTTTTACAGTTTTTTTTGTAATCTGTGCCATGAAATTTGAAAACTACCAAAAATTAAGAGAACTTTTATATTAAATTCCTTTTCTGGTGTAAAGTTAAGTTGTATAGATTATTAATGCATGTCCACTGAATATATATAACCCTGGTTTTGTGATAAAATTGCTTAGATTTTATTGGTGACAGATTAGTGGTTGCATTAAATAACTAAATTTCATTGTGGTTACTAATTGAAATTTTATCTTTAAGCAGAAAGTTATTTGTGAATATAAGCTTTGTGCTTAGAGAATGTATGTGTTTTTACCTGTCAGTATGGGAGGACATAAACTTTGCATCATTAGTGAAGTCATTGAATGTGTAATCCTTGCAAAATAGAACTATAAGAAGTGATAAGAATGGTGAAAGAGTGTGTGTGTGCGTGTGTGTGCGCGCGCACGCGCGCGTGTGCGTGCACGCGCTTATGTGTGCACGCGCACATACGATGAAGGGGAGGTACTATTGGCCATCACTGTTCCATGGTGGGGTTTTTTTTGTCGGTCATGAACTCAGCCTGGGTACCTTCCTTTAACTCTTTTGCTCAAAGCTAGTGCTCTACCACTTAAGCCCCAACACCACTTCTGGTTTTGTGGTGGTTAATTAGAGGTCTTACAGACTGTTTTGTCTTGGGTGGCTTTGAACCCTGATCCTCAGATCTCAGCCTCTTGAGTAGCATGAGCCACCAGCACCTGGCTGTTGGTGTGGTTTTATAAAGTATTATCTAAGGAAGTAGTTGCAGTTACCATTGGCTTACTAAATGTAATGAAGGTCTTTGGGTACATTATCATTTTAAATTTTGTTACTACCCATAGCCATATTTTAACACTTTCATACTTTTTTTTTTTTTTTTAAGAGAAGGCACAGAACAGCTGAGTAGAGGCCCAGGCTGTCTGTCCTTGAACTCTTGATCACAAGCCATCCTCCTTCCTCAGTCTCTGAGTAGTTGGGACAAAAGGTATATATCATTCTGCCTGGCTCATTTTAACCATTGATAAGTCTGCATGTCAGTGGTAGTAGGTACATTCAGAGTTGTGTAATGATCACCACTATCTTTCCAGAACTTGTTTATTCCCAGACAAAAAAACTACATAAGCACTCTCCATAAATTCCTACCCATCCCCTGGCAATACTTGTTTCACTTTCTTTCTTTGAATTTGATATTCGTATTAGTAAAATCACACAATGTTTTCAGTATTTTTTTGTGTAATAGATGTATTAATTTTATGGCGGGATAACAGTATATATGTACAGTCCTATTAATGGACATTTGTACTTATAAAATAACAGTAGTCAACATTATTGTGCAAGTATGAGTTCTGCTTTTGTTTGGGTATATACATAGGAATGGAGTTGTTGGATCATGCTGTCTTATATTTAAATTTTTTTGAGGCGCCTGAAACTTTTCCACCATGACTGCACCAGTTTACATTGTCACCAGAAATGAGTAAGGGGCCCAGTTTTTCCATAATCTCTGCATCACTTACTACTATTTTTATAATGATCTGAATTGGTATCCTTATACATAACTACTGTAATGAGTATAATCTCTTGTGATTTTTGAATTGCATTTTTTAAATGGCTTATGATATTTGACATCTTTTTACTTATTGATCACTTTAATATTTTTTATAAACTCTATATTTTAATCCTTTGCTTTTGTTTTTGCATTTTGGGCAAGTGTTCTTATCACTGAACTTTCCCCTTTGTTTTTTAAATGGGGGTCTCCCTGCTATGATGCCCAGTCTAGCCTCAGACTTTTGGGCTCAAGTGATCCTTCTGTCCCAGCCTCCTGTCTGGAATTGGGTTGCTCTTTTTTGTTGTTAGGAGTTGTAGGAGTTGTAGGAGTTCTTTGTGTATCTGCATATTACTATGTTTGCAGATATTTAAACTGCAAATGTTTCCTTCCATTCTAAGTTTTCATTCTCTGGTTATGTGTTTTTGATAAAATTTCTGGGCTTTTTGTATGTACACATTTTTCTCAAAAATTTTAGTTTTGATGAAGTTTATTGTGTTTTTCTATTTGTGGACTGTGTTTTTGGAGTCATAATCAAAAACTCAATTGTTCACTGTTGTGAACTTTTTTCCTGCTCTTCAGTGTTATAGTCTCAACTTACATTTAGTTCTTTGAAGTATTTTGAGTTTTGTATTGGATAAGCAGTTCATCTTTGTGATCTCCATGTGGTTATCTAGTTTTCTTATCATACAGTAGTCCACTCACCACGAAATGGTCTTGGTTCTCGTGTTCAAAGTCAGTTGACTATATGCAAGTTTATTTTTGAGCTTCATCCACTGGTCTGTATGTCTGCCCTTATACCAGTGCCATCTTACTTGATTAGAGCATTGTAGTAACTTTTTTATCGTATTATTTTTAATCTTTTCAATCCTTTGAGCAAGAAATTCTATTCCTTAAGCCTTTGAAAAGCTACGATTCTGTATTCTGACTCAGGGAAACTTACCTGAAGTAATTGAAATGCTAGATGAGAAAGGAATCTCTTAAATTCCCACTGCATTTCTACTTACGTATGCATATTTTTGTATGCTAATCTTATAAGTATAATTCTATAATTATTAGAAAACAAGTTTCACAGTTTTTTTCTATTTTAATGTTATTATAAGGGTGATATACAGAGGGATTACAGTTATATGAGTCAGTTAATGAGAGTACATTTTCTTTTATACATTGTCTCCCTTTCCTTAACTCTCTGTTTCCCTCCTATCATCACCCTTGAGGTATAGAGTTCACTTTCATTGGTGTCCAGTGAGCTCCACTGCTGAACTTTTTCACCTGTGTTTCAATTTTTGTAACTATAAAAAAATTACCTGAATTTTTGCTTATGAAAATTCACTATTCTGTAAAGCAAATGAAAACAAGGTAGAATTTACAAAAAAATCAACTGTTTAGACTTGTACAATTAACCAAAGTTTTCTAGCAGTTAGGTACCCTTGAAAATTAACTTATAATAGGTAGTCAAGTGGTTGAGATCTGAAGATCATGTTTTGAAGCCAGCTCAGGTGGAAAAGTCCATGAGATTCTTACCTCCAGTTAATCAGTAAAAAGTTGCAAATGGAACTGTAGCTCAAGTAGTAGAGGGCCACCCTTGAGCAAATTTTGCTAAGGAACAGCTCTCAGGCCTTAAGTTCAAGCCCCAGTACCAGCACACACACAAAGTTTGGAGCTCCTCAAAGAACAATTCTTAAAATCCCTAAATGACCTCAAAGAATTGTTTCATTTGGCTTGTCTAGCCACCTTCCTTCTTAGCATTATTTTCAGAGCTTTTTTTTTTTTTTTGTCTTTTTTTGTTCTGGTCCTGGGGGGAAGGGAAGGCTAATGAGTGTAAATTGCTGGAGTGTTAAAGGCGTTATCCCAGCCTGACACCACTTAAGCAAGATGAGGAAAGGTACAGATTTATGACATTTAAGGACATCTGTGTCTAGCTAACAGCTGTCCACAAAGTGAGTGAAGCAAAGTCTTAAGTGGTCACATAATAATACATATTTTACAAAATTAATCCAGGAAAGCCATTAAACAAACAGTAAACACAAGTCAGTCTAACTTTTGACAAAATAAAACTTCTATGTAAAGATTCAAGGTAGCATCTATGTAAGAGGAAGTCCAGATTGTCCACTTAGTAAGCATACCCAAATAACTTTCAAGAAACCATGGCTAAAGAATTAAATATGGAGCGTTGCCTCAAATTATCTTGCTAAATCATCCTGGAAACTGTGGTTCAGGATTCTGACTTGGGAAATTGCAGAGATGAATATGAGAAACCAAACAGAAAGTTGGATTGAAAAATAAAAGTGTCATGGTAGATTTGAACGGTAAGAAATTATGAACTTGAAAACAAACCATTTGAAAATACATTTCTGATAAAAGTGGAAAAGCAAATGAACAGAGCCCCAAGAACTTGTGGGACATCAAGTGTACTAAGAAAATAACTTCCAATAGAGAGGAGAGGGGCTGAAAAGTCACCGTTGGATGAAAAGCATTAGCACATTCCAAACACCCAACAAATACCATAAAGAAACTCACATCC